ATTCTCCCGGGCCACACAAGTGAAGCCAGTAGCAACTGGTGTTTTTATTAGTTTCTTGTCACATCTTGGGTATTTTTCAACAGCACTTCCTAATCTCTGTTACTTGGTTGGGTTTATTTATGGCCATTCTGTATTCTTTGGGAGGAAGTTATCAACCACCCTGATTGATGTTTTTGCCACTCTTCCATTCCCTAACTGCCTGAAGTTTAGTTGCTGTTCTTACTGCTCATTCTGAGCTACACTAGAAATCACTAGTGCCTTCCTAATTGCTTTTGCAATGTTTGTTATCCTTGACTACCGTTTTTGACACCCTACCTCTCTTGCCCTGAGTAGCATTGTACTGACTGGCTTGTTCTTATTTCTCTGATGAATGTTTCTCAACCTTCTGTCATTCTTTTTTCTAACACATGTCATTTTGTAGATAATTCAGTCTTCTGCATTAATGCCTGACCTTCAAAGTTCCAGTTGTATTAAATACTTAACTGATTATTGTATTACTTCCATTTGACTCAGCTGCTCGCACCTCAAACATATCTAAAATTTAACTCACCTTTTTTGCAAGATTAACTGTTTTCCTTGACCTTATAATTTTTCTCTCAATGGTTAACATTTTTTTCAGGTACTTGAAAATAAAGTTTTGATTCTTTGTCTACTTCCTACTATAGTCTATTCCATACGTTCAGAAAATCACCAGATCTTGTTGGTTTTTTGTAAAAGCTTTTGTATCCATTTCTGCCAACCTAGCTCAGGTGGTTCTTACTTCTAATCTAGATTATTGCAGTAGCCTCAGAACCCTTTTTCCTATCTCCAGCCTTTGGCCCTTGAGGTCTGTCAGTACAAAATATTCATCCTAGAATACATTTTATTATGCTAATAAATCCATGCTGAAAACCCTTCAGTGAACCTTCTTCACTATCTACAATAAAAAGCTCAGACTCGTATGTCTGTGTGTGTGTGTGTGTGTGCGTGCGTGTGGTTTTTTTTTTTTGGGACATGCTGAGGGGCTTGCGGATCTTACCCCAACCAGGGATTTGAACTCGGGCCCCGGCAGTGAAAGAGCACTGGGTCCTAACCACTGGACTGCCAGGGAATTCCCTCCTATATCGCATTTTAAAATCCCTCTGTGGGACTTCCCTGGTGGTCCAGTGGTTAAGACTCTGTGCTGTCCATGCAAGGGGTGCCACTTTGATCCCCTGGTCGGGGAACTGAGAATCTCACATGCCTCAAGGCCAAAAAAAAAAAAAAAGCCCTCTGTGATCTGACTGCCACTTATCTTTCCGATGTTTTTCATGAGCCCTTATGTTCAGCAATGTCACTGGGAAAAACAGTTCTTATGTTCTACCCTGACTCACTATTTTATCCATTTTAAAGCCTTTCTCATCTTCTTGTCCTTGAGGTTGCCCAGGCTAGTTCTTGTGCTACCCACTTATGATCACTATAGGCATTTCTGTACATGCAACAATATTCTTTGTTTTCTTACCTCTTCCATGTATATGGGCATTTTACTTTGTATTCTCCACAACACTAATTGTCTTTCCAGCATATTTTCCTGCATGTAATTTTTAGGAAACTGTTCTGCATATTTTTAGGAAATCATTTGAGTAAATGAAATTTTTAACGGCTTTATTGAGATCAAATTTACACACAATTAAATGAATTTTAGTATCTTTACAATTTAATTTGAAACATTTCCATCACTTTGTGCCAATTTAGTCACTCACCGTTCTTACCCACAGCCCTAGGCAACCACTAATCTCCCTTCTGCCTCTATATATTTGCCTCATATATATATTTGTATACACATCATACAGTATGTGTCTTTTGTATCTGCCTTTTTTTCACTGAGCATAATGATTTTGAGGTTTGTGTTGTAGCACGTATAATAGAGTTCCTTTTTATTGCTGAATTCCTGTATGACTATAAGGATTAAATTAGTTTTGATGTTATCACTCAGAATGGCACAGTGGAGTAGTTTGGTATATCTTTGGCACTGGATTATAATTTTCTGTTGTTTCCCTTGAAAGCTTTCCCTATAAGTTGTCCATCAGCAAATACCCTAAATAAACATCCCATATTGTCTAGTTTTTCTTTTTAGCCTTACATTTGTTTTCCCCATCTCTACTATAGGGCCATGTTCATGAGTGGACTAAGTGAAAGCAAACAGACACACATACACCTGAGGAATGTGGATTCAGCCACCTTACAGATAATAATAACGTACGCATACACGGGTAACCTGGCAATAAATGACAGCACTGTAGAACAACTTTACGAAACAGCTTGCTTCCTGCAGGTAAGCAGTTTTTTCAGTCTTATAGCTATGTAATTTTAATGCAGATTTTAGAAGGTAAAACTCTTTTTAAAATATGTAAGGGAAAAACAATAGGATTTGATCAGCTAATAAACTTAGTTTTATGATGGGAACTTGACTAAAAAGATAGGTGAAAATTTCATATTAGTTTCATAGTCTGCCTAATATACCACAGGATTTAGATTTCAAGTAAAAGAAATTTTTAACAGCATTTGTTAAATTTAAGTGCTTCAGTTTTTTGGCTAGAAGCTTAGATGTGCTTATTTTTGATGGTTTTTTCACAGAAAATGTCAAGATTCTTGTGGAAGTTATCAAACATAATGTTCATAATAGCCATGAGACCTTACTGAGCTATTAAGGAAAATTATTTAAACTAAAATAAAAAGTGATGATTGATATATTTACATATGATAAGCTATTTCACTGTGTTTCCCCTTCAACTTTTTTTCTTTTTTGGCTGTGCCGCGTGGCTTGCGGGATCTTAGTTCCCCGACCAGGGATTGAACCTGGGGCCCCTGCAGTAGAAGTGCAGAATCTCAACCACTGAACCACCAGGGAATGCCCCCCCTTCAACATTTCTTTTAACTTTAAGAGGAATATAAAAATATTTTCCTCATTTTTTCCAAAGAGAGAAATAAAGTTTCTCCAAAGGGAGAAACTTTAAAGGTTAAATTCTGGGAGTACAGTTCATGATACCTAGTAGGTACTTGATAAATGTGTGCTGAATAAATGTGAATGATGCCGGTCGAATGCCAGTTTCTGGGTGTAACTCTGGGAACCAGAACTCAGTCTGTCCATGCCTTAAGTACCTGTCTTCCTTTTTAGTTCTGTATTCTTCCCCCCCCCCATAAATTGTGCAGTGTCCTACTATACCTATAACTCTGGGGACACTGAAGCCATGGTAGCTTCCTGGTGCTTTAGAACGGAAGACATTCACATCCTAAATCCAAACCTAAAGGGGAGAAATGCCTACTGTAAGAACTGTCTTTCTTCCATAGCTTATATGTTTTCATTACCTTTTTAAATGTTTTAGCAATTCTAAAAGCAAGTTTTTTTAGAATTGCTAAAAAATTGAGGAATTTTAAGAAATTTGGATTCCAGAACACTGTTATTATAGTGATACCTTTCCTTATAATTTTTTTCTATCATGTTAATGAAACCTATAGGCATATGCTTGGCCAAATGCAAAACAGCACTCTGCCTCTGGGAGTAAGTTGCCCTGGCAAACCTGGGAATGTGGCATTTTATGACTACCAACATGGCTTTTACTATTAACCACATGAAATGATGTTTTTATATGCCAGGTTCTGTACTAATGCTTTATATAGGTTCTCATCTAATTCTTAAAATAATCACTTGTAAGGAAGGATCTCCCCATCCTACACAGGAGAAAGCTGAGGCTTAGAGAAGTAAAGCTACTTGCCTGATATTGTACAAGTGTTGACTGGCCAGTCCAGGTTTTGAATCCAAGCAACCTGACTTCTTATCACAAACTGCTTCTAGTCAATCACTGTGTCGTTGAATAAGTATAGTAGGTAGCACTTCTGACTCAAGATCTACTGTTTCTTAAGAAACAACAAATCTAGGAAAGTTAGAGTGGCTAAGATGGGTCGTTTAAATGTAGGTAATTTGTAATTGCACATGAATATATTCTTTTGATTGGTTATCCTACTGCTCCATGTAAGAAAGGCAAATAATAACTACTGTTAGGCATTGTGTATGATTTTCTGCTTCTATATGACTGTCTTGTCCATGTTAAGAAAACCAGATTCCAGCTTCTCAACAGTAATCATTTCCTATACTGATTTACATTGTTTTCATTTGGTTCTCTCAATTACATATTTTGCTAGGCTTTAAAAAATACATAACTTATGCATGAATTAATTTCTTTCCCTTTCCTTTTAAGGCTGTTTAGGTTTTTAAGAGCCTATTTAATGTTATACTACTGACTCCTAAATAGGGCAGTTAAGTAGGCCACTGGACAGGAAGACGAAATGCAAAACTATGCATAGTCTTCTAATTTTATTATTACTGGAAGATTATCTCTTAGCCCAAACATGTGTATCTAAAAATAAAAACTATAGTATAGGGATCTGATTAATATACCTGTGTGTTACATAAAAATAAAATTTGTCTAGCCTGCCTTTATCAGCCTTTTTTTCCCCTTCTATTTTAGGTAGAAGATGTGTTACAACGTTGTCGAGAATATTTAATTAAAAAGATAAATGCAGAGAACTGTGTGCGATTGTTGAGTTTTGCTGATCTGTTCAGTTGTGAGGAATTAAAACAAAGTGCTAAAAGGATGGTGGAGCACAAGTTCACTGCTGTGTATCACCAGGAAGCTTTCATGCAGCTGTCACATGACTTACTGATAGACATTCTCAGTAGTGACAATTTGAACGTAGAAAAGGAGGAGACAGTTCGTGAAGCTGCTATGCTGTGGCTAGAGTACAACACAGAATCACGATCCCAGTATTTGTCTTCAGTTCTTAGCCAAATCAGAATTGATGCACTTTCAGAAGTAACACAGAGAGCTTGGTTTCAAGGTCTGCCACCCAATGATAAGTCTGTAGTTGTTCAAGGTCTGTATAAGTCCATGCCCAAGTTTTTCAAACCAAGACTTGGAATGACTAAAGAAGAGATGATGATTTTCATTGAAGCATCTTCAGAAAATCCTTGTAGTCTTTACTCTTCTGTCTGTTACAGCCCCCAAGCAGAAAAAGTTTACAAGCTATGCAGCCCACCAGCTGATTTACATAAGGTTGGAACCGTTGTAACTCCCGATAATGACATCTATATAGCAGGTGGTCAAGTTCCTCTGAAAAATACAAAAACAAATCACAGTAAAACAAGCAAACTTCAGACTGCCTTTAGAACTGTGAATTGCTTTTACTGGTTTGATGCACAGCAAAATACCTGGTTTCCAAAGACCCCGATGCTTTTTGTCCGCGTAAAGCCATCTTTGGTTTGCTGTGAAGGCTATATCTATGCAATTGGAGGAGATAGTGTAGGTGGAGAACTTAACCGGAGGACCGTAGAAAGATATGACACTGAGAAAGATGAATGGACAATGGTAAGCCCTTTGCCTTGTGCTTGGCAGTGGAGTGCAGCAGTTGTGGTTCATGACTGCATTTATGTGATGACACTGAACCTCATGTATTGTTATTTTCCAAGGTCTGATTCATGGGTAGAAATGGCCATGAGACAGACTAGCAGGTCTTTTGCTTCAGCTGCAGCTTTCGGTGATAAAATTTTCTATATTGGAGGGTTGCACATTGCTACCAATTCTGGCATAAGACTCCCCTCTGGCACTGTAGATGGGTCTTCAGTAACTGTGGAAATCTATGATGTGAATAAAAATGAGTGGAAAATGGCAGCCAACATCCCTGCTAAGAGGTACTCAGATCCCTGTGTTAGAGCTGTTGTGATCTCAAATTCTCTGTGTGTGTTTATGCGAGAAACCCACTTAAATGAGAGAGCTAAATATGTCACTTACCAATATGATCTGGAACTTGACCGGTGGTCTCTGCGGCAGCATATATCTGAACGTGTACTGTGGGACTTAGGGAGAGATTTTCGATGCACTGTGGGGAAACTTTATCCATCCTGCCTTGAAGAATCTCCATGGAAACCACCAACTTATCTTTTTTCACCGGATGGAACAGAGGAGTTTGAACTGGATGGAGAAATGGTTGCACTACCATCTGTATAGTCAGGAGTTCAGGGAGTGCACGCCTGATCTATTTGCTTTGTCATTTTCTTTGCTAAATGAGAGAGGCTATGAAAGGACTGAATATGAGTACATAAAAATCTATCTTTGATAAATTTTATTTTTATGCCCTACTTAATATTTGCATCAGTATAATATATATCAGTGAGTCTTAAGAAAGATATGCTTCCATAATATGAAATAGATTATCCAATAATTGAGAAACTTTTATGTGTATCATGAGCATAAAAATCTGGATTATCTAACATTGTTAGCCCTGTGTATGTACAGTTCCAAAAGTTCTCTTATTAAAGTAGTTTCCTGTTCCTAGTGTGGTATATCGCAAATTATGCTGAGGTTATTTTATTATATGTATTTCATTCCTGTGCTTCTGTTCTGAAGTCCTGGAATAGTTTTTTTCGGTGTAGTTAATTGAGCTGCACTTAACACTAATGTCCATGTTGGTATTAGAAATGTTGTCTAAATCCTATAGTTGAGGAAGATCTTCCATTTTATGGTATTGCACAGGGAAAGTATGACTGCAGGATCAGTCTAACTATTAGGTGCATGTATTCTCTTTTCACTAACTTATACTTGTCTATCTAGAATACAGGTCTTCCAATCAGCTGGTCATTTACCAGGTGTGGACTTAAGTTGCTGGGCTTGCAATAAGAATTGCTAGTCCCTCATTGTGCGGGTCTGTGTGGAGCTTTAATCAGTAAATGCCTCCACTTTCTGTATTACATTAACATTGGCTCATGCATATAACTACCTGCTGCTGTCGTATTTCTCCATCTTAAAGATTTAGAGTGGGTTAACCAGGTCATTACATCTTAATTTAATAACAAACATTACTGTAGAGTGATTGTGTATAGATATTCGTTAGCTGTCAGGGTGTGTTTTTTTTTAACCTGTTGTGTGTGGGGGGTAGGATTAGAAAGGTGAACTGTTCAGGAATTCTCTGCACTAGCGGTGCAGAAGAGCAGATAACTAGTGCTGCTCTGGCATTAATCCCAGGAACCACTAGCAGTAGCGGGGTGCCGCCAATCTAACATGAGCACAGGTGCTTCATGACAAACATTACTAGCATGTTCAACTGCATAATGTTCTGGCACTGTATTTTGAATGACATTAATTTATTAAATAAATTGTATATATTCAATATCTGTTTTTCTTTTGTGATGGGAATTGTGTGCTTTTAGTTTTAGTTTTACGGAGTCAGCTTAGTTTGTGACAGGTGATTTCTTCAGAATTTTGTTGATTATATGATATTTGTCTGATTTGAGCCTTACTGTAGGAACACAAATTACATAAAAAGTAAGAGGCAAACCAGAGCCTAATGTTACAAAAAAAAAGATTTTTAGTTATTTGAATGGGCCTTGTCCTCTTTCACATACGGTTTTTTCTGCCTCAAACACTCTTCCCCTTTGACTGGTTAGCTCTCAAGTGATTATACATCCTAGTTTGTGCCTGTTTTCCCTTTCACTTTGAAAAGTGTCCCTGTTTGGATAGTAAATGATATGGTAACCCTGGTTGAATTCAGTTTACACTTCAGGTAACTTCCTCCAACTGGCTTAAAAAAAAAAATTCTATTGATACTACCATGAGTTCCCTTTGTTTAACTCTCAACTGTGGGATTTCCCTGGTGGCCCAGTGGTTAAGACTCTGTGCTCCCAATGCAGGGGGCCTGGGTTCCATCCCTGGTCAGGGAACTAGATCCTGCATGCTGCAACTTAAAAAAAAAAAAAAAAAAAAAAAAAGATCCCAAAAACCAAAAAAAAAACCCCGGGTACAAAAAAAAAAAAAAAAATTTTTAAAAAAAAAAAAAAAAAAGGAATAAATCTCAATTGTACCCCGTATTACCCAATACTCGTTAAACTATCTTATACTTATCGATTGTTTTCACCACTGCCGTGAGGGCAAGGGCTTGTGCCTACCCTATTTCTGCATCCTCAACATCTAATAATGCCTGGCACATAGGCATGCAATAAAACCTGTATGAAGGCATGCATAGGTCACAAGGGGAATCTGAATTACAGTAAATCATTCAGACTACTATTTTGGAATTGCAGTAATTATTGGAGTATCTGACAGTATGGAAAAGGATTTGTCAGTAGATTAACATCAAATGAGCTGGCATTAAAAACAAAATTTCCAGGGCTTCCCTGGTGGCACAGTGGTTAAGAATCTACCTGCCAATGCAGGGGACACGGGTTCGGTCGCTGGTCTGGGAAGATCTGACATGCCGCGGAGCAACTAAGCCCGTGTGCCACAACTACTGAGCCTGCGCTCTAGCGCCTGTGACCCACAGCTACTGAAGCCTGCAAGCCACAGCTACTGAAGCCTGCATGCCACAACTGCTGAAGCCCACGAGCCACAACTACTGAAGCCCGTGCACCTAGAGCCCGTGCTCTGCAACAAGAGAAGCCACCACAATGAGAAGCCCACGCACCTCAACCAAGAGTAGCCCCCATTCACCACAACTAGAGAAAGCCCGCATGCAGCAACGAAGACCCAATGCAGCCAAAAATAATAAATAAAATAAAAATTAAAACACAAACTTTCCAAAACAAACAAACAACAAAAAACCCCACAAACTTTCCAACAATATAAAAAGGATTTAACCAAGTGGGGTTTATCTCAGGAATGAAAGGTTGGTTTAACATCTGAAAATCACATAATATATTAACAGAATAAAAGAGAAAAATCATATCATTTCAATAAACACAGAAAAATTATTTGACAAAATCCAAGGACCATTTGTGATATATATATATATATTCATAGAAGTACTAGAAGAAACATGGATTAATTCCTCTATAATGAGGGAGTAGGGAAAACTTTCCTAATAATAGCTCAAATTCCAGAAGTAATAAGACAAAATGTAATTTCACATACAAAAAAATAAAACTTTGGTATAGAGTAAGACACCTAGGCAAGACACCATAGGCAAAGTAAGAAGACAACAATACAGGAAAAAAATTTCAAGTGGTAGTATCTCTAATATCTTTAAAGAGCATATAAAAATAAAAAAGCCAAGATCTCTAAGAAATTGAGCTTCTGAGGTGAAAAATAAACCATATAATATATGCTAAGAGAAACACACAATAAAACCAACACTGAGATGCTATTTATCATGTATTGGCAAAAATCCAAAAGTTTGAATACTGTTGGCAGAGAAACAAGCACACCCATACATTCCTGATAGTCCTGCAAAATATGGTAGCTGTGGGAGATTTGACAATACTGGTAAAATAACCCTTTGATCACAATCCTATATCTAGGGATCTCTCCCAAAGATAAACTGGCAAAAGTGTTTTTTAAATGTATGCACAGGTCTGTTATTCCTTACAACAGTATTTGTAATAGCAAAAAGGCCAGAAACAACACAAAATCCATCAGCAATTGGTTAAATCAGGATTGGTTAAATAATGTCAGATCCATAAAGTAGATCTCCAGAATATATCATTAAAGGGCAAAGTGGAGAAAAGTGTGTATATACAGTAAAATGTACATTATTTACAAAATTTGCTATGTGCTTAAGCTAAAAAGATAAATATAAACATTTTTAAATGGTTAACTAGAGGGAAAGGAAAAGAACAGTATGAGGGTTAAAAATAGAAGTCTTCTTTGAACATACCTTGTTTTATAAATTTGACTTTGGAATTATGTAAATATTTTACATAATTATAAAACAAAATTAAAGATTTTAAGATGAAGCAAAAGAATCTAAATTAGTATATGGGGGTGGCATAACCCCATAAAAAGGAAGTTTCAATCAACTTAAAACAGTAATTTGTGCATCCCTAGTGGAATAAACCCTAAGGAAAAAAAAAACTTTAACTTTTTTTAGTCACATTATTAGTGGTAGTGTTGGTATTAGTATTCTAATACTATTGTGTGTGTATTGTGGTTAAAGCAAATGAGTAATAATATAACCTGTTATTACTAGAATCTTCTTAGAACTGGAATTCCCTGCAGAGGAGAAAGGAAGAGTAGAAGAGGATAAGTAAAACCCTGAGTTTGCAGGGTTTTATAAATTAAAACCCTATACAAATTCATAATACATTAAAAAAATTTTTTTTCTCCTTTCTGTTGAACAGGCCTCA